AGAATTGTGTTTACCGCAGGCCTCAAACTTGAACTCTTAACAGTGATTCCTCAGAGCTGCTTGGACTCCCATCCCATTGTTTTTCTACTGAATTCCCTTTTCCCTCCTATGTGTCAGCTGTCTCTCTCCTCCCTTAGGCTCAGCCTCAAACACCTCCTCTCTCTCACCCCACCCTGCCCCCTCCCCTGTGTCCCCCCCATACTCTTCTGTTGTGCCTGTGGGTGTGGGTCATCTCCTCCCTCGATTCTGCTGTCATCACCCCAGTGGAGGACGCTGCTGATCGTGCCTGTTACTGTGCATTTACTGGTCCCCTAACTGACCTCCTTAGCACCGTCCTCCACCCCACCCTCCACTTGCTTGGTCTCTGCCAACTAACTGTCCAACACAGTGCTCCCGTCATACAGCACAGCCGTGTGGAGAGGCTCTTGGAGCGCCACGGCAAACTCGCAAGAGTGGTTTTGAGGGAATCCTATCTGACAAAACACTACCCCTGAATGGTTTGGGCCTAACCACTTATGGAACTCTGGTGGGGGTTTTTTTGGCCTCTGGTTGCCATGAACCAAGATAATCTGAGACTCTCTGCTATGTCACCTTCAACCAGTCACTTTACTCTGGGTCCCAAGTTCCCACATCCATGCACGAGGCGGTGGGAGAAGACGATCTCTTTGTTTGCACGTGTATATATGCAAGGTCAGGCCTTGGCCTCCCCTCTGCGGTCTCCACCCCCACCCAAGGCTACCCCAGCCTGCAGCCTGTCTTTTCCCTCTGTGCCTCTCCCGGCACGCCACCTCCAGCCTCCGTCAGTGCCCTTCCCTGGGTGAGCCATTGCATTGCCTCTAGGGAGCCCTCCCTTCCCACACAGCACACAGTCAACGCTTGCCCCTGCCATTCATATGGCACTTGTGTCACTGGGCACGCGTGGGTCCTGGTCTAGACTAGAGGAGTTACAGTTGGCTGGGTGCCCACTGTGCACGGAGGGGGACCGCGTCTTTGCCGCCTTCCTGGTGACAACCTTGCCTGTGATTTACCTGCGGACTCCCCCTCTTCCGAACCAAGCCCACAAAGGAGTGCCTTCTCTGCTGGAGGAGGTCCCAGGCCTCAGGCAGTAGGGGCTCCCATTCACTCCTGGGCCCGGCTTGCCTCCTGCAGCACTGCAACGGTGTTGACTGGCGTCAGAAGCTGGACTCTCAGCGAGGGGCTGTCATTGCCACTGAGCTGAAGAACAACAGCTACAAGTTGGCCCGATGGACGTGCTGTGCTTTGCTGGCCGGATCGGAGTATCTCAAACTTGGGTGAGATTAGGGCCCGGAGGTCCTGAATTCATCTGCTGCAAGGAGGGGTCTGCGGGCTGGGCTCGCCTCTCCCCTCTCCCTTGGGAAGAACTGCTCCTTGGCACCAGGTGTTGCTGTGCCTCTGTGCGGGCCTGCCCCCACCTTGAACGCCCCCTCTCCTCCCCCCCACTAGTTACGTGTCCCGGTACCACGTGAAAGACTCCTCGCGCCACGTCATCCTGGGCACCCAGCAGTTCAAGCCCAATGAGTTTGCCAGCCAGATCAACCTGAGCGTGGAGAATGCCTGGGGCATCTTGCGCTGCGTCATCGACATCTGCATGAAGCTGGAGGAGGGCAAGTACCTCATCCTCAAGGACCCCAACAAGCAGGTCATCCGCGTCTACAGCCTGCCCGACGGCACGTTCAGCTCTGATGAGGACGATGAGGAGGAGGAGGAGGAGGAGGAGGAAGAGGAAGGTGTGTAGCAGGCCTCTTTCTGAAGTCTAGATTTAGCTGTAGGCTAGCTAGGGACCGAGCGCTGTAGCCACCCTTCTCTCCGGAGCCCTGATGTGGAACTTGCTGAGAGTTCTCTGAGACTAGACTTTGGAGCAGCCTTCACTCTGGAGCTAGGAGCTGCTTCAAGCACCTTGAAATCATATGAGGGGCCCAGGGGGGAGACGGACCTTTTAGAGGCTAGGGTGAGGAAGAAGCATTGAGGGAAAGGCAGTGGAATGGTTAGCCCGTGGTCTGAAGGAGAAAAGATACTCTGGGCTAGTTACATGGGCCCCAGACTGCCTCTTTGCTGCTTCATTCACCACCAGCTGGTGACTGAAGGGAATTCCTTTTAGCCCCATGACGATCCGAAAGGCTTACCTTCCGAGGGGAGCTGGTGAAAATCACAAGCACTTCACCAGTGTGACATGGCTCCTTTCTCTAACGTTTTGTGTCTTTCAGAGGAAGAAACTTAAACTAGACGGTGATGTGAAGCTGGAGTTTGTGATTCCACTGAGCCTAGAAGGTCTTTGGATGCTCAGTGGAATGCTTACCAGATTCTTGCTGTCTGAAGTTTGATGGTGGAATAAAGTATAACTATTTAGTCTCTTTCCTTCGTCGTGTGCTTACGTTGGTTGGCAGCCCCTCTTCCTTCCCCCAGTAGCTCTTGGGTGAGGGAGGGTGAGATACAGCCGTGTTCTATGTCCACATAGAATCAGGGCTCCTTTATTTGTTCTTGAGCGTTACTCATTTTACACTTCCTTTTAGAGGGTGAATGTCCTAGATGTTTTTGTTCTTGGAACCGCGTGACATGATCCTTTGCTGGGGATGGCTGTAGGTTGTGAGGCACATTGTGGAGGTCCCCACAAGAGGTCCGTTTCTACTGGCAGGGGTGCCTGCTGGCTGTGTGCCAGACCCAGCTGCTGCCCTTAGAGACACAGATCGCTAGTTAAAGGGAAAGCAGGGCACGGTGTTTGAAGGTTGAGGTGGGTATGCTTCATATGAAGGAGACTGCCCGAGAAGATTCTGATGGATGTTCCACTTGGTGGTGATCACTGGTTTGTAAATTGTTTTCGAGCTTGGTTTGGGCTGGTCACCGAGTCCCGAGCCAGCACCCTCAAAGCAGTGTGTCGTAAATCAGGTACAGAATGTTTAGGATATGTAAACTTTTTCTAAGTGGATAGTGTTCTATTCTTGATGGTTTGAACCAGTATAATACCCCGCCAGGTATTATACTAAGTTTTCTATAAATACCTCATCTGAGCCTGACCCAGAACTGGAATGCTGGTCGAAGTGGTGTCATTGTACGATGAGGAAATAGGCTCAGCTTTTGAGTAACATTCCTGAAGTTACTATTTTAATCAAAATAATTGAGCCTCAGGGGCGCCTTGGGTGGCTCAGTCAGTTAAGCATCTGCCTTTGGCTTAGGTCATGATGTCAGGGTCCTGGGACTGAGCCCCCTATCAGGCTCCCCGCTCAGTGGGAAGTCTGCTTGTCCCTCTGCCTCTGCCCTTCCCCCTGCTCGCGCTCTCTCAAATAAAACTTTAAAAAATAATAATGAGCCTCAGAAAGCAACCAAACACTGGTTTTGTTAAAGTTAGCTAGGGCGTGCAACATGCCTCTTGGGGAGTCTTCAAGATAGATTATAAAAAGCACATGTTAAAAATATAGTGACGAGTGCCATGGAGTTTCAGAGTTGGGCCTGGGCCTCACCAGACTGCCTCTTGCAGACCCATGGTGCAGTCCAGCAGGATTAGCTGGGATGAGTGGGCAGGTGGAAGTCAGTTTCAGCCTTGGGCCCTAAAAAATGCACCAGCTTCCACTTGCTTCATTTATTTTATCTGTCCCCTACTTTACCCATCCTGCGTGGGGCCATCAAGCTGATGGCTTCAGTCCTGACTCACACCTTCCACCGCATGCCCCTGCCTGTCAGCCCACTGTCAAGGCCCTGCCACACTTTATCAGTCCTGACTTCCCTCTACTAACCAGATAAGACCAACAACTAATTCAGGTACTTAATTATTTGCCAGCACTCATTCTCACATCTTCACAACAACTGAGTAGACCTTTTTATTTTTGATAAGGTACTTTGCATAGCCTGTCTGGTTTCACAGTTTATTCAACAAATGCTTCCTGATGGCTTGCTCTATGCCAGGTCCTGGAGGAAGCCCTGAGGTCACCAGAGTGAATAAGATCATTTCTGCTCTGTGGACCTTTTCTCTGAAGCAGATACAGGCTATAAATAGATAAGTGGCACTCCTTAGTGGATACTTTGTTCGAGAGGTCAGGGAAGACTTCTCTAGAGAGGTCCCAGGGACAATTTTTAATAAAAAGAAGCTCCAGCCATGCAAAGTTAGACCATCGAGTTCTTTCCACACCAGGCATGGCTGCCTTCCATGAGAACGCTCAGCCCCCTATCACTGGACTTCTTAATGCCCCTTGAAGTTTCCTGTACCTCTCTCAAAATGGCATGCATTCTGCCCCTGTAAATCTAAAGCAGGGTCCACATTCCACCTGTGCAAAACCAGCCTCGATCGTCCAGTTCACCTGAACGGTGGCTCAGGATCATCCTCCTGCCGTTCACGTTCCCTCCACCGCAGCCATACCAGTTGCTGGGCATGAGCAGCGGGTTTGTGTCTACACTGGCCTATCATGGGCCACTTTGTTTACAACATTACCAAGAATGCAAAACATGACGAATAAACTTTTTGGAAAGAGCTCATAACTTGGCGTAAGCGGGGCGGGGGGTTAATTCCAAGTTCCACTTAACCATTTGGTCTCAGGCAAATCACCGCTAAACCTCCATTTGGCCAGTGACGACAGAATGTGGGGAACAGAATCGCCTGCCTCTCCTGGTTGGTGAGACTGCCAGCCAGTCATGCATGTTACTTAGCAAACAACAGACTGAATCACTGTAGCAAACACCTGTTGCTTTTTTCTGTCCTGACGTCGACCTGGTTTCCAGTCCCCCAAAACTGGGTAGCCAACGAGTGGCTACGTTAATGGTGGAATGTAAGACCAAAGTCATCTGCTCCCGTGCCTCCCCTGCACGTGGAGAGGCACAGCTTTAACACAAGAGCCCTGCGCGCCAGCGCGACCCGAACCCCAGCGGCGCCAGACCCTCCGGCCCCCGGGGAACACGTGCGCGCCTGTCCCGCGCCGCCAGGAGCCCGCGGCCGCCCCGCCCCTCCCGGCGTGCCGCGCGCCGCGCACGTGACTCCGCCCCCTGCCATTGGCCGGACGGGAGGGGCGGGGCCGCCGCCGCGCCGGCGGGCCGAGTGCGGCCTCAGTCGACTGCGGGCTGTCTTCCGCGCGGCTGAGAGGTCTGCGCTCGGTGCCGAAGAGGCAGGCGCTGCAGGCGTGGGCACCGCGCACGCGTGGAGATTGGCCCCCGGAGAGCGGGCGCCGGCAGGAGTGTGGCCTTGCGTCGCGTGGCGGCAGGTGTGCTGGGGCCATCCCTGTCACGTGATCGAGGAGTCCGGCGCGCCGGGCACCTGGCGGGGGCGTGGCCCGGAGGCCACACCTCCTTCGGTCTCCAGGGCGGGGCGGGGCGGGGCCTAAGAGACCGGCCCCGCCCCCCCGAGGGTCTAAGCTGGGGAGGGCTCGGGAAGGGTGTTGGGCATCCCTTAAATTAGGGGAAGAGTGGGGGAACACCCACCCTCGTACTACCATGGCAATAAGAACGGGGGTGGCGCTCCTGGGAACCGAGGCCCTGGAGGAGATGGAGGCGTTCGGATTTCCTGGGGGGAGCCCCAGATCCGAGCTTGAAAGGATGGGGGCAGGCAGATGAGCTCAGAGGACCTTGGGTTCCGGTCCCGGCTCAACCTCAGATTGCGGTTAGCGGCCAGCCGAGCCCCTGCCCCTCTCCCATCTCCCCGGGCCTCGAGGGGCCATTCGGGGTGCGAAGCCTCACATCCGTGGTCTGCCGCAGGATGGGCTTCTCGGCCGCGGCCCGGCTGTGGGGCCCGCCGGGGCTGCTCCTGACCTTCGTCCTGCACCCGGCTCTGTGCCTGCGCCCAGCCCAGACCTCGGCGCCCCCTCGCCGGGACTACTGCGTCCTGGGCGCGGGGCCCGCGGGCCTGCAGATGGCCTACTTCCTGCAGCGGGCCGGGAGGGACTACGCGGTGTTCGAGCGCGCCCCGCGGCCCGGCAGCTTCTTCACGCGCTACCCGCGCCACCGCAAGCTCATCAGCATCAACAAGCGGCACACGGGCAAGGCCAACGCCGAGTTCAATCTGCGCCACGACTGGAACTCTCTGCTCAGCCACGACCCCCGGCTGCTCTTCAGACACTACTCCCGCGCCTACTTCCCCGACGCGGGCGACATGGTGCGCTACCTGGGCGACTTCGCAGACCAGCTGGGGCTCCACGTGTTGTACAACACAACCATTACCCACGTCACTCTGAACAAGGACCGGCAGGCCTGGAACGGCCATTACTTCATCCTGACCGACGGGATGGGTCACGCACACCGGTGCAGGTAAGGAACCCATCCCAGAGCCGACCTGCTGGCACCCCTTGGTGGGCGGTACATGGGGAAGAAATGAGAGAATAATTTTTTTTTTTTTTTTAGAGAGTTTATCCATTTGTCACGTTCACTGTGACACCAACCTTGGGTATTCAGCATCGTCTAGCTTATGTACCCACAAAGCCGTTTCTGAAGAGCATCTCCTAGAACTAGTGTTCCTCAGAAGATATTCCGGGGAAAGTGTCCAGCAAGTGTTAGATAGGCTCAGTGGGATTTCAGAACTGAACTAGAGCGGGAGGCCCCACAGGCAGGGCTGCCAGCAATCAGTTTTAGCTTGCTTTGGCTTGGGAGAAAAAGCTTAATGTTGTGTAGACAGCCCAAACTCAGAGTCACACACTGTACTGCCCTGATTCAGTCCTCACAAGGACCCTGGGGGCAGTTCACTGATCCTCGTTTTACAGATGAAGAGCTGAGGCCCAGAGAAGTTAAGTCACTGGTGCTATGTCACACAATCTGAGCCTGTGTCTTCCTGATCCCGAAGCCTGTGTTCTTTCTGCTACACCAGACTGCCTTTCCCTTCCCGGCTATGGGGCTGCCACTTGGCTCCAGGCAAGTGCCCGGAGTTCATCTTCTCAGGCCCTTCGCCGGAGGCCCAGCCTTGGCCCTTGCTTGTTCCAGCCCAGGGAAAGAAGGGCTCTGTCAGCTTGGGACCCTCGCATTTTAGACAGTCGGGCAACAGCGTAGGGGATTCAGATCTCAGCTGGGTGGGCAAGGGTGAGAAAACAAGGAGCCACAGGGGGTGCGATGTCTTCTACGGGCCATGCGGTTCTGTTTTCAAAACCGCCTGTAATCAAACCATCCTGCAGGCCAGCAGGAGCCAGCGCCCGGCTGCCCCGCACAGGAAGGTAATGCCCGCCAGCATGAATCACGCCCATCTGATTTCGGATTCTGGCTTTGCTGTCCTAGGAGCTTGGGAGGCCATAGACCCACAGGCCCTGTGTCTCCTCACCTGTAAAGCAGATCAAATAACACCAACTCAGGGCTTCCTTAGGCAATGAGATGATGCACGAAACACTCGGTAGGGGCCTGAGACAGAACTCCTGCTCGGCAGTCCCCTGCATCTGCCCAGCTGTTAGAAAAAGGAAAGTGGACCGCCAAGTTTCATTTTCACCACTGAGAGCCACACTTGGCCTAACTGCTGTGTTCAACATTAGGGGAATTGTTCAAGTTTTCATGTGTCCCCTTCTCAGAGAGTTGGACTAATTCTTGTGTTTGGCATCATCCCAGTACGGGGTAAAGGGAACCGTCCACTGGAGTGGGCCCGGGAGGGGCAAGGGTGAAGTCTCTCGGATACTTGGGTTAGGTCAGTAAACGGATGAATGAAGGGACGTTCTCCTGTGGATTTTTTAGGAGCCAGCAGCCTGGGGGAGGTGGGCCAGCCAGGCAGCAGGGGCAGGCAGTGAGTTTCACGTCGTGGTCTTCCAGCTCAGAAACTAAGCCGTCTTCCATCTGTCGCTTCCCTGTAGCGTGCTTCTTGTGGCCACCGGTTTGTCGGTCCCCAACCAGGTTGACTTCCCTGGCTCCGAATATGTAGAGGGGTACGAGTCTGTGTCCGTGGACCCCAAGGACTTCGAGGGTCAGAATGTGCTGATCCTGGGGCGTGGGAACTCTGCCTTTGAGACAGCAGAGAACATCTTGGGTGTCACCAACTTTATCCACATGCTGAGCCGCTCCCGGGTCCGACTGTCATGGGCCACCCACTACGTAGGAGACCTCAGGTACGCTATGAGCTGCTCATGGATTCCGTACCACCAGCCCCCTTGAGAGCCATTCCTGACCCCACTGGAACAAGTGCCCCTTCCTCTGAATCTCCTTGTGCCCCGTTCAGACTCCTTTCTCTCTCCTGGCATTTCCCTTGGGCCCCAGGGCCATCAACAATGGCCTGCTGGACACCTACCAGCTGAAGTCCTTGGATGGGTTGCTTGAGTCTGACCTGACGGATCTGGCTGTCGTGAAGGACCGCGAGGGCAAATTCCACGTCACCCTGAAGTTCTTCCTGGAGGAAGGCAACCAGAGTGCCGACACCATCACCCTCCCCCAGGACGACAGCGACAACTTTGCCATGCGCGTGGCCTACGACCGGGTCATCCGCTGCCTGGGCTGGAACTTCGACTTTTCCATTTTCAACAAGTGAGTCCACACAGGGGTGGAGCTGGGGTCACTTCATGAACCCCTTCTGACACCTCCCCGGGGGCAGAGAGTCACCATCCCGTGGGCTAGCAGCAGGGCTTTTGGGATGGCACCGTCAGAGTGGACATGGGTGCTGCCTGGTCCCTTGCCCAGGACGTGAGCTCACTGTCCTCACAAGGATGGGCGGCCCAGAGGCCCTCCATCCTAGAGCAGCAGCAACAGTGGGTCTTCATCTGCGTCGTGATCTTCCACCCGAGAGACGGGAAAGGGGGCTCAGGCAGAATAAGTACTCGGCATATACTATATGCTTCATAAAATGGTAGCTGCCAACTTCACTTATAATTGTGTGTTCGACTGCTTTGTTTGAGACGTTGCTGCCCCAGGGACCTTGGCAAGGCTTGGTATCAAAGAATCCGTCCAGTGTCTCACTTTCCCCTGGCCAAGGCGCAGGCAGACAAGGAGAAACTGGGGGGCCTGAAGCAGACCCCTGCCCAGCAGGTCCCCCAGGGCCCGGTCGGAGCCCAGAGCCTAGCCTCAAGTCAGGCTCGAATCCTGGCTCTGTCCCCGACCCACCACATCTTCACCCTGAGCCTCAATAATTACTCCATCTGTTAAACAGAGATCATCATACCCGGCCTCTAGGGTCCTGGTGTGGTTTCAACACAATAAGCAATATAAAGCATGACGTACGCTTAGCTCAGTGAGGAGCACATAGTAAGCGTTTCATACACAGCAGCGATTTTTATTAACAACGCTTTCTACTCACAGGTCCCTCCGACTGTCTTCTGGGGGTGAGTTCAGCAAGAAGTACCCGCTGGTCAGAGCTAGCTATGAGTCCAAAGGAAGCCGGGGCCTCTTTGTGCTGGGCACCGCCAGCCACTCTGTGGATTACCGGAAGTCTGCCGGGGGCTTCATTCATGGATTCCGATACACAGGTGAGCCTGGCAGAGAGAACCATCCCTAGGCTTTGTAAACATAAGCTGATTTGCAGCAGCCTTCATGGGAGTGCTTGTCGGTAGTCGATTGTCTTAAATTCCCATCTGGGACAGAGGGCAACAGGTCTTCGTGGGCTGAGGCTAGATCTAGAAAAGCGTCAGATAAGGTATGAAAGCAAGTACATCTGGGGGTAGCATAGTACATGCTCAAGCCCTGTGCCATCAGGCAGCAGGTATTGGCAAGAAGGCAGAGCTGGACGAGTGCTCCTGGGGGTTCCTCCCCAGCAGAGCGGTCTAGAGGTGAGGCTTCATGACCTCTCCGTAACCCTCTTTTGGATGGCGTGGCGTCAGCCGCCCTCGCGGGGCTGTCTTAAGGACAAACTGAGATAATACCTGGGAACCTTGTAGCTACGAAGCATCATGCACAGATTCTTTGGGTAACCACAAATTTCAGTAAAAATTACAGTTGGATTACATCAGTTCTGAGGGCATAAATGTTCTGCACTCCAGGCAGGCTGCTGGGTGGGCGAGTGTTCACAAGGGCCAGTTAGTTGATTTTGCCACAAACACCAGAAGCACCCTGCATCCTGCATCCCAGCATTTCTGTACTTAATTTGATGACTTGCATTGGCTTAATACTCATTTTTGCATTTTACTGTCCTTCCAGTTTGGCAGGGGAAGGTAGCCATGTTTGATTTCCAGATGATATATTTTACGTCCCATGCAAGTGGTCAGAGAAGGAAACCGGAGAGAGTGTTAGCTGTCTGTAAACCAGGACATCCACAGATCGAACACACACACACACACACACACGATGTATTTTATGTCTCTTGCAAGTGGTCAGAGAGG